TAGTGAGTTTCTCTTTTCTTTTTAGCAGATGACTGGAACTCCATCGGTGTTGAAGATCATCCCCGTGGTGGGTTCGTAGGTGCCGGCCAAGTAGTAGAGGTCCTCGCTGTCGGCGTAGCGGCGAGTGTGGGTCATCTGCTCGTACTCCTCCACGCTCACCACCAGGCACTTGTGGCTGACCGTCTGCACGTCGTTCTCGTCGCTGTGAGACGACTGGTAGAGGGCGCGCTGCGACAGACACAGACGGCGTTTACTGCTTTTGTAGCCCACATTCATCAGACAAGTCAACACTAACACATAAATGGTAAATAACAACAAAGGCTAATCACCCTGACTGAAGAAAACGAGCCACTACTTCTACAGCTAAGAGCCCAAGAATCAAATACTTGTCTGTTATTGAGTTCAGCAGTGGCTCATGCTAGACTTAAGGGTTAAGACTCTACAATAATAGAGAGAAAACCCTAACAATCAGACCGTTTGAGCAAGTATTTTGTGACAACGGTGAGTTATTATATAACTTGTCTTTTCTTTCTAGTGCTATTTTATTTTGTCCTAAAACACGATTATTATTGATCTCTCAGTTACAGTGAGGTAGCAAAGAAAGTTAGTGTTAGCATGCTAGCTAAAATGGACTAGCTTTGGGATTACAGCTGATGTTAAACATTGTGTTCTGGCTAAAAGAGATCAGCAGTGGCTCAAGACTAGCATGCAAAACATGTAGCAAGACCAAATAGTAGTGAATTTTTTTTTTTTTTTATAGAAAGTTATTTTATTACAAATAAGACAGAACACTGTATGAAGTTTTCCTTTTCCAACCAACAGGATTATTTATGGCTGTATTCAGCTGTATTTTTCCTGGTTGTGAATCCATTTAAGTACACTTTGTCCATACTGGAATAAGCAGCAGTAGAATATGAAGTCTGAAGTTCAGAGATAAAACTTTTCCTCACCTCCATAAAGTCTTTCCTCTGGATGGAAGAGTGCAGAGCTGCTGGTAAAGACTGACCGCATATCTGATCCCAGTTCTGCAGAGGAAGCAATCTTACACTTAGGACACAAAGCTGGAAGCTCCTCAAACACTTACACATTTTTATAAACCTCTATATAAAAAAAAAAAAAAAGTGTAGTACATTAACGCTGTCTTTCTTTATAAACCTTTGATCAGTGTTGAGCACAAACTTCTACCTTCTTGTCTGTGAGTTTCTTGCCGGGGTTCGTCTCCTCTGGATGATAGAACCAGTTGACCCTGACCACCATGTTGCTGCCCCAGGACTCCCACATGCTCTGGATGCGACCGATGAAGGGCAGGTTGGGGCGGCCGGCGGACAGGAACACTGCACAGTCCCCGATGCGGATCATTTCTCTGCCACGCACAATGGCTTTGTAGAAGAGCTTCTTAGCCTTGCCCTTCATACCACGTCTCTGGAGGGGCCACAAAGGACACGTTGGTCACAGAGTGAAAAGAGCGATATCTACATTTCATAGATTTTTTTCCTACATGATAGAAAAAGATTTTTCTCCTCACCTGAGTGGGTTTCCCAAACCACTTCCAGAGCTGTCGTGCAGGAAGGAAAGCTGAAATTTTGGGCCTGTTCTCCACACTTGGAAGCCTCTGACGTTTAGCCAGCTCCTTAGTCGTGGGAAGGTGGACCCCCTCTCTCCTCTTTGGCCTCCCCGCTTTCCCCTCTCCTCCACTGGGCTTTGGTTTTGGAGGACGACCCCTTTGTCCGGAGCCCTTTCCGGTGGCTGGCTTAGCCGGTTTAGAGGGAGCAGGAGCAGCAGCTGTTGGAGAGGTTGAAGGGGAGGGAGACTGTGGTGGTGGAGACAGTTCTTCCTCCTCCATTTTCACCTCAACCTCTTTCTTCACCTCCTCTTCCTCCTCCTCTTCTTTTGCTTCTTCCTTAGGTTTATCTTGTTCTGGAGGCTTCTGGACTGAGGCTGGTGGAGGTGTAGGAGTCCTCTCTTCATCTGAGCTGCAGGAGGAGTCGTCAGTCGACGAAGATGATGATGATGAAGATGACGACGAGGAAGAAGATGAGGAAGAACCAGAGCAGGACGAAGACGATGAAGAGCAGCTTGAGGTGCATTTCTTCTTCTTCTTGATTTTCCCTTTCTCTCCTTC